AAATGCGAACTGCTTTTTGAAACTCTCACCTTTACAGAGGCTTCTTAAAGGGGATTTCCCCTACCCCCCCAAAGATGTAAGGAAATGGATCCTTTGCAGAGCCAGCTGGTGCTTTTGAAATGGGGACGTAAACGTAGGGGCATGGCCTCGAGGGGGCTCAGGCAGAATGAAAAGGGCGCTGGCTGAGCTCACCCGGTGGGCGCCCACTGCAATACAGCATCGCTTGCTGGAGCCTGGAAGGGAGTTCCTCCAAGAGCATGCTTACCTCTGACAGAAGTCTAGCTCCTCTTGGTTAATAGAGCGTGGCTCAGGCCAGAGTAGCTTTACTGACAAGATGCAAAGTGAAGAAGAGAGAGAAGTCAAGGATGACTCCCAAGTGAGAGGGGGAGGCCAGTGGGTGATGCAGTGCACTGGCAAGAGGAAGATGAGTGCAATTGGAAGCAGTTTGTACTTGAAATGTCCATTAGATCCTCAGATATCTGGGTCAGGATTTGAGCCGAGCGGTCCAGCGTGGAGGGAGCGATTTGGGAGTCGTTGACATGTACCCTGTAATGAAGCTATAGGAGTGAATAAGATTGTGTGGAGAGTCAAGAGAAGTGGGAGCAAATGGAATTCAGGAGAGATCTGGAAGCAAACGCCCCCCCCCCATCACCCCCCCCCCCCCCGCAGATTTGGACAATTGTGTGTGTTTGCCTAGAATAACAAAAATGGACTGGTGACTGTCTGTGTCGGGGTCCTGCTTGATGTCTGTTTGGAAGGAGAAATTCAGAGTAGTCTTTGGATCTGTAGAAATAAATTCTTTAAATTATCCTGAAGTAGCATTTTTGGAGGCAGTGGTCCATTTCACAGATGCTCCAACTTTTGCCCACCAGGCTCCTCTGTCCATGGGATTCTCCAGGCAAGAATACCAGAGTGGGTTGCCATGCCCGTCTCCAGGGGATCTTCCCGACCCAGGGATCGAACTCAGGTCTCCTGCATTGCAGGCAGATTCTTTCCCATATGAGCTGCAGGGAAGTTCTAGCTTTTGAAGTAGATGCCAAAACATACCTGAGGACAGAGAGCCCGGGGTCTGCGGGACAGGAAACAAGCATCTGCTGGTTTATTGAGCAGCGGGAGCAGGAAGAGCGGAGGGACAAGAGGGCAGCAGAAACCAAGAATAAAACCTGGTCACGAGGCCACATCAGCCCCGCTTGGCAGACAGGCCCAGTGGCTTTGGTAATTACCCTGGTGCCTGCTGTGTGCGCGCCTTTTCCACTGAGTTTTAAAAAGCCTTTCCTCTAACTACCGGGTCTCTCAGAACTGGGGCCACATTTGCCCTTGGTGGTTTTCTCCTGTGGAATCTTTGCTGTGTCTGTGCTCCGCGCTGTGTCTGCTGACTCCACGAGAACCCTCCTGGCCCTGCTCTCTGACACTGCTCCTGCCCGCCCACTCCTGCCTGAGCTCATAGACGCTTTGTGAGGACATGCCCTTCTGGAAGAGCCCGGCAGAAACCACAGGCCTGCATGGCCAGACCGGCACACGTGGACTTGACCAGAGCCTCATCTTTCCTTTTGCTCACTCCCTTCCCCACCCCCACCCCCCAGCCTTTTTTCTCTTGGTACTTTTGGCATAAATACTGTGTGTCTTAGTCCCTCAGTCATGTCTGATTCTTTGGGACCCCATGGACTGTAGCCCGCCACGCTCCTCTGTCGATGGAATTCTCCAGGCAAGAATATTGGAATGGGCAGCCATTCCTTTCTCCAGGGGATCTTCACAAGCCAGGGATCTAACCTGGATCTCCTGCATTGCAGGCAGATTCTTTACCATCTGAGCTGCCAGGGAAGTCCCATAAACATTATGTAACTGTCTAAAATCAATAGAACTTTCAAAACAAGGCTTAAAACTAATGGTGAAGCTTCATTAACAGTGGAGCTTCCTCTGGATTAAAAATGTTACTTTGAATAGAAATGCCTTTTTACACCTGCGTTTGCATGAATTCTGTTTTTGGTATTCTAATTCTGGATATGATATAGGAAGGAAGTGTACTCAAACTTTAGGGAAATGAATCTCCAAAAGATTTGTGTATTTTCTGTATACCTCCACAGTTTCTATATAGTCCCATAAGAAATATCCGAAAGACTGATTTTCATCCATAGCTGGGGTTTTGCTTAGGATGCTTTCCGAGAACAGATAATCATAAGCACTAGTTAATAATGCATTTTGTCCTTCCGTTAGTTTATTATCCTTTAGAAGGGGACACAGGTTACATTGAGACTAGGGTCTCTTAAGTATTTACAGTTGGAAATACTCCGGGCATCTGTTGAAATTTTGTCTTAAAACTCCATTCTGTTCATACATTTTCATTTTGCCCCAGTCAGTATCTTTTAAAAAATAAGACATTCAGCCATAGTTTCCTGTGTATAAATAATAGATAATGATCAGAGTTAAGTTTAACCTTTTTCCCTGCCTATTATGTGCTGGGTATTCTGCTACGTTTTGGAACTCAAAAATGAGTAAGAAATGGTTTCTGCCCTCAAGGAGCTTGGGGTCTAGTGATGGTGGATGTGAACATAAACAGTTGCTTGTAGCACAGTGTGAAAATGGCTGTGGGTGTTCAATCCATTCTTGAGGGGCCGGAATCAGGGTGAATTTTTGGAAAAGGCTCTAGCTGGATTGTAAAAAATGAGGTAAAGTTAATCTAGGAAGAGTGGTGTGTTTCCTAGCCAGGAGTGATCTGAGTTTTAAACATCCTGGGATAGGCAGGTAACTTCAGTACTTTAGCACTGGCCAGTAAATGAGATTTACAGAAGACTTTACGAGTACCTTAGGTTTTAGGGCTTTATTTATTGTATAAAGTAATGTTAATGTAATACCTCTGAAGAGTATACTAGTTTGTCATTGCAGTATAATCTTACCTTGGACAAGCTTTAATTGAAATAAATATGTATTTATCTGAAGGCAGCCATTATGTAGCATCATTAATAATTCAGAAGAGTTTTCAATTAAGCATTAACAACATCATTGCCTTTAGCTGTGATCTGACTGCTTGAGCTCAGAATATCGAATTATTTTTCTCAATGAAGATAAAATTAAGCCTTAGGTAACCAGAACTCAAAAATTCTATTTCTTTAATCAACATATGCTCTCTTTGAGCATCTCTCTTGGGAGAGATAGTAATGATAGTAAACCATGGCAAGGATTTTAACTTTTTTGGGTCCTTCCCCAGGTATATTCTGGGATCTGTGTACATTTGACCCAGTATTCTATAAAAGCATCATCATAATTCACTGCATTAAAAATTCTAATTCAAAAACACAGTCTTGCACTACTTGAAAATTCTTTATCATCAAAGATTATTTTCATTACATGAAAAAGTGAACTTAATTTATGCCTAAAAATCTCAGTGATAAGTACAGGAAAGGCTTCCTTTTATTGGGCGAGATTTAATTCCATCATATGTACTGCTCCTGCCAACTTTTTTTTTCTCCAATCAGATGGCTTGAACCATGAACAGCTTTCTGGTTAATCTTCAGTAAATCAGAAATGCAGTTTATTAAAACACCTCATTTAACCTCTGGGAACCTGATAACACACTGAGTGCATATACTTTTGGTCAGAAGAATCTTTTAGTGACTGTGGATATAAGAATGAGTCTTTTCATTTCCTGGAGCAATAGTTGATGCTTGTACATTGCAAATATACAGAGTGAATTTTCAGATTCCAGAGGTGTTGAAGGTATTTGTATTACTCAACAAGCCTCTCTGTGTGTGTATGTGTGGGTGTGTGTGTAAAACAAATGTGGTATTACCTTGATATTTTATGCATTTATATTTTTTTGCTATTGAAATGCATTTCCTTTCAGCATACTTCCAAGCAGACCGGTATCAAACTCAATACTTCACACTCACCCCTGTGTGTTTGTTTTTTTTTTTTTTTAATAAAAAGGCACTTTCCCACCTCAGACACTAATTATTAAAGTTGCATGATTTGCCAGGCAAACACGACTCAGTCGTGGTATTTGAGCAACAAATCAATGAACAAATATTGATGCAACACACACGCCACATGAGCATGACACCATCTGGGGTTCTGTACATGATTTATACAGGAAGACAGAGCATCTCTGCCTTTAAGTGGCTCAAAATGTAATTAATAGGAGACAGGGGAGAAAAAGCAGAAAAACATAACCAAAGCTCTTCAACCAGTTTTCACAGTGGCTAGTGTAGGCATATTGCCGTTCATTCATTATTTGCCGAGTGCTTTGCTACTTGTCAAGTCTGTTGAGGGCTGGGGATAAATAGGGAATGGGATACAGTCCTGGTATTCTAGGAGCTTACAGTTGAGATTTACTATGTTTGACCCATATATATGGGCTTCAGTGTTAAAAGAATCCGCCTGCCAATGTGGGAGACACAGGAGATGCGAGTTTGATCCCTGGTTTGTGAAGATCTCCTGGAGAATGAAATGGCAACCCACTCCAATATTCTTGCCTGGAAAATTCCATGACCAGAGGAGCATGGTGGCTATGGTCTATGGGGTTGCAAAGAGTCAGACACAATTTAGCAACTGAGCATGTATGCACCATATATATATATATATACTCAGTAAGTTGAAAACATCTTCTGTGATCTAGAAATGAGTGAGATAACAATATAGCTTACTTATTAGTAAATTCTGGAAGGTTTAATATCTAACTATGGACTTCCCGGGTGGCATTAGTGGAAAAGAACCTGTCTGCCAATGCAGGAGACAAGAGACAACAGGTTCAATCCCGTGTTGAGGAAGATTCCCCTGAGGAAGACACAGCAACCCACTCCAGTATTCTGGCCTGGAGAATCCCATGGACAGAGGAGCCTGGTGGGCACTGGTTTGCAAAGAGTTGGACATGACTGAAGCAACTTAGCACGCACACAGTGGTAATTCCAGGCCTCTAAATTTCACTTGCAATCAGGTTTGGCCTTCACAGTGGTAAAGAATAATGTAGAAACAGGCCAAATTCATCATGTTTCTTTTTATTTCAGTGAGTAAAATTTCAAGCCATCAAGAAGAAATACGGTTGTCTCTCCAATGTTCCAACAGGAGCCATTCCAACATCACTTCAAAGTAAGCTCAATGAAAACTGGTCTTTTCCTATATTTGGTTCACTGCTGGAACCCAGCATATATGGAAGAACCTCATCAATGACAAATACTCAGTGGATTTTCCTTAAATTACTGAGACTGTGGAAGGCTGGTTGTGTTGGAGGTACTCTGCAAGGCATTGGAAATATTGGGGAAAGTAAATCCAGGGTCCACAACCTCATCATCTACCAGGTAAGAAAAAAAAAATAAACAGAAAATCACAATTTATAACCTGTGCTCCGAGAGAGGAGCTGGGGAAGGCTTCATGGAGGTGGTGATGATAATTATATTCCATATAGTGTGTATAAGAGTTGGGGGCCAGTGGGCATGCTCAGCTCCCTATGTAGGTAATCACAGGGTTCCTTGTCTACAGAGAATTCTAAATAGCAAAACTGAGTAAAAGTTGGTGTGTTGTTTTATTACTCAGTAGTTAGCCATCCTAAAGTAAGACACTGATTAAAAATACTCTTTCTCCAGAGCTACCATAGGCCAGCTCCCCACACATCTCACTCTCCTCTTACTATGCTTTTGTTTCTCTGGATGGATATTTGAGATATTTGAGCTTCAGACACCATTGTTTCTGAGAGTAGAGCCTTTGGGCTTGGTAATGATTGCCTTACATGTGTTCTCTTAAAAAAAAAAAAAAAAGAATGTTGAAAAAAGCTTTAACTCTGAATACACACATATTTCAAGACAACTCTTGCAGGAGAATGTTTTCTGTAAAACTCAGAAGTCTAGAAAGGCCTTTCTTTCCCCATCTTTCAAAGCATTGTGATCTCTTTTAAAAAAAATCTCAATCTTTAAAATCGATACTTTCATGGGTCAACTTCATGTCCTGTCACATTTACCAAAGAATGACTTTTCATATGTTGAAATGTAGAATTCAAAAATTTTCAATAAAAACAACCATGTTTATCTTGAATATCCTATTGTAATATACTTACTGGTTTTGGTTATATGTTAGGCATTTTTTCTAGACTTAAATTAATCCTCTTGTACCAGACAACTGCCTTCCAAGATTTACAATTTAGTGGTCATCATTTGCTGTTGAATTTTTATCTTAATATTGCCCTATTTTGGATGTTGTCCGTATGACAGACTAATAAGGGTGAGTTGTTGTTATTTAGTTGCTAAGTCATGTCTGACTCTTTCCAACCCCATGGACTGCAGCCTGCCAGGCCCCTCTGTCCATGGGAATTCCCAGGCAAGAATACTGGAGTGGGTTACCAACTCCTTCTCCAGGGGATTCCCCTGACCCAAGGATTGAACCTGTGTCTCCTGCATTGGCAAGTGGATTCTTCACCTCTGAGCCACTACCTCCACAGTTATTCAGGTGTGTGAAATTAGGTGAGACATCTTTCTCCATATGTGTGTGTGTGTGTGTGTGTGTAGACACACACATATCAGTTTAAGAATGCTCTGAATTCCCTGGGATGGATTTTCATCTCTTGAGGCAGTCACTTTTCAAAGGGTACCTAATGCCGTATGGATACCCACCAAAGTAGCTTATTTACCCGGCAGCATCTACACCATTGATTTTTGTAGAGTAAATCATAACAGCCTATTAACATTCCATTATGCTGAGCATAGGACTAATAGGAAAACATCTCTGAGGTCAGATCATAAGTAGACTTTAGAATGTACCATTCAAAAAAGGATGAAATGGAAACCATTTATGGAGGCTGGTGGGTAAAACAAAGACTTTAAGGAAGGGTAACAAAGAACAAAACTCTGCCATTGTGTAATTTCCTGTTGGATATTATGGCGAATTTTATCTGTATATCACCTTATTTACTCTTCACTTAAACTGAACTGACTTGGATGTCCACACGTGTTTTTATTATTATTCTTACTGGAATATAATTTCTTTACATTCTGTTACTTTCTGATGTACAACAAAGTGAATCAGCTGTATGTATGTGTATATCCTTTCCTCCGTGAACCTCCTTCCTGCCCCCCACCATCCCACCCCTCTAGGTCATCAAGAGCACCGATCAGAGCTCCCTGTGCTATATAGCAGCTTCCCACTAGCTATTTTACACACAGTAATGTGTATATGTCAATGCTGCACACATCTTTTGAGCTTCCTTTAATTTTCTTATTAGAGGTTCAAATGTTTTACTCAATTAATTAGATTAGGAAATGCAGGGAAATCACTTAAATGTCCTGATCTCATTTAATGCTGTTACGGTGGGGTGAGACCTTCTGCAATGGCGAGTGGGACAACCAGCAGTTGGACATGGCAGCATCCAGCGGAAGTTCCTACACAATAGCTCGGGACGCTCCAAGACAGACACGGCAGGGCTGAGAACCACCCAGTAAGGACAACGAGGATATCCTGCCTCTGCATTAGCTGTAGTCTGGAGCCCACGTTGCACCCTTATCTGTCCTTGGAATGAAGGGGACAGTTGAGTAGTTCGGGAACTTGTCTCAATAAAAAGTGACGTTGTGTGCTAGGAAAGCAGACTTGGAGGAGAGAATTTAGTTATAGTAAGATTCTGTGGTACAAGTCTCTGTTAAGGTTTATGATGTGTCAGATAGTGTACCAGACATTCGGAGGCATGAGGTAGGTGATGTACAATCCTCATCTTCAAGAGATAGCTCCAGAAGACTCACATCCTGGAGCCCATAGAACCCATGACACAAGTCTCAAGGGAACCCTGTGGATGCGTTAAATCAGTTTAGAGTAAATCTTAACTACTCATTTTGTCACCCATTAGCCATTGTTTGATGGAAACTGGGAAAGAAAATCTATTAAGAACATGATAAGGAAGGACTGGTCAGACGAAGAGGTGGATGACCAGATGATGGTGTCTAGAAACCTGAGGGAAGAGGGAATTTCCAGTAGGAAGAGGGTGGGGCAGACACAGCCCTTTGTACATAGAACCTAAGTGAGATAAGCTTCCAAAGCTGAGTGGCAGAGATAGGTGACCTTTGGGAGAGCTGTGGAGTGGGCATGGTGCGGGGGAAGCCTGCTCGCAGAAGGTCGATGAGAGAAGTTAGGAGAGGCTGCGGCGTTTAAGATTCTTTTGAAAGAGGAGGAGGGTGTGTTAAGAGGTAAAGGAGGTGCCACATGAATTAGATGCTATCAATGCCATCAGTTTGTCGTTAGGATCTTGGACAAATTTATTTAATCACTTTGGGCCTTAATTTCCTTGTCTGTAAAAGGAGAAACTGATACTAGTAGCTACTACTTTAAGGAATCAAATGAGTTAGCACCATTATACTAAGTAAATTCCTATTAGATCAATATCTTAAGAGAGATACAGTGAAAATGCAATAGTAATTTAGAAGAGAGAGCAGTTACTTCCAGATTATGGGCTAGATAGGTTTCTTTTTATTTTCAGTCATAGCAAACACATAAAATTTATTGTGTTAACCATTTCTGAGCATACGGTTCAAAAACATTAGGTATGTTGCATTGTTGTGCAGCCAACTTCCAGAACTTTGTCAGCTTGCAAAACTGAAGGCCTTGGTCGCGTTCTCAGAGGAAACGGGGCTCACTGCTTCGTGAGACTTGGAAACTTCTCTTACGAGAGCATGCCTGACCACTGGACACAGAAGCATAGACTTCATGTAATGACTTAGACTTCTCACTTGACATTGGGCAGGAATCTGCTGACCTGTTGCCTAGGCTTTTGTAATTCTAATATCCAGAGGTCATGCACTATTTGGACTTGAGCTGTGATCGAGGTCTGGTTGAAAGGATGCTCAGCTGAATCTTTCTATACTTCTGATTCATTATCATCCCACTCAAAAAGTGAACGTTTTAATGTTTTGATAAGGTTTGAAATGTTGGTCTGCAACTTAAGTAGAAGTGATTTTTCCACAATGATAATGTTGAGAAACAACTGGTCCTGGGGATAAAACCTAGACTTAATATCAGTGTGTGTGTGTTAGTCGCTCAGTCGTGTCTGACTCTTTGCGACCCCACCAACTGTAGCCCACGAGGCTTCTTGTCCATGGAATTCTCCAGGCAAGAATACTGGAGTGGATTGCCATTCCCGTCTCCAGAGGATCTTCCCAACCCAAGGATCGAACCCTGGTCTCCTGCATTGCAGGCAGATTCTTTACCGATTGAGTTAACATCAATAGACTAGGCTTTCTCTCCAGCCACACCCTTGCACCATGTCTGTGTTCTCTGAGTAAACAAATCAACAAGTTTTCTTCAGTATAAATCTTTTTGGTAGCTAGACTTTTAAAAAGATGGTGCCTCCATTTTACTTAGGTAGAGGGTTTTAATTCTTACTCCTGAAATTTTATGAAAGAATTGGAGAAAAGAGTGAGAGAACAGAGAAAGTAACAGTGGTTGTGGACAAAGGATGGCAGGTGCCCAGGGCAGTGGGGAGAGAGGAAGGCAGGATTCCAAGCAAAACAGAAGAGCAAGACTTTGGTCTCTCCTCTCCAATGAGTACATGTTGGTTTTACCTAACCAATGGTGCTGCTGATGAGAAAATAAATCTTGAGATACCATCTGCTACAGAAAGCCAAGTCTTGACGTTTTTCACTTTGTAGTGGATTAAAATTGCGTCTGTTCTGATAGGCGTTTCTGGGCCTTTCTTTTCCTGTTTCCTGAATCCTCCTGCTTCCGAGACCCAGTCCGCCCTAATGACAAGATTTTTTCTGCAGCAGTAAAACTTTTCCTGCATTTCCTGCCCGTACTATGGTTTCACTGTTCAGCTGATTATGTTCTTTGGCTCTTGGTCACTAGATCACTCTGAGGCAAATTTATGCTGAGGAGTTACTAGTTATTTTATCAAGGGGATTGGATACCTAAGACACTTAAGTCATGGTAGGGATTTTGGTATTCTGATAAGCAGCCCAAGAAGGGAGAGTTTTGGAAGAGCAGGGCCTCTTGGCACTTCTGAAGTTGTGTGTATCTGCTTGGTGAGCCAAACGTGCGCCTCTGCACATACTGAAATGCATTCAGTGTTGTGCAAATAGTTTTTTTTAGTGTAGTTTCCTATTATTCAGTGTTAGAGATTTTTATGAAATACTGGCTCTAGAAAAAACCAACATTTGTCTCATCTAAAAAATTTTTTTTCATGTGAGTCAATAGATGTATGATTTGTCTCTTTCTTGGGGTAAGAGAAGGTGAAGAAACAAAACAACCCCCCCCCCCCCCCCCCCAAAGATGTGCTTCTCACTAGCAAGCAAGGCTTAGCCCAGTGACTTACAGGGATGTGTGAGAC